AAAAAAAAAAAAAAAAGAAACAAAATAAAATAACAGATCGAAAAAAGTAAAAAAAAAAGAAAGAAAGGAAAGGAAAAAGGGAAATAGTACTTACGTTTGCGGTGTCGTCGAGTTTCCGCTTCCACGCATCGCTACGTTCGATCAAGGCGTTCCATTGCTCCGAAAGTTTGTTCACTTCTCGACGGATGCTGCGCGTCAATTCTCGTGCTTGTTCCTCGGCACTTCTGTAACCTCTCGAATCCCCATCCAATTCTCTTCCGGCTGTGAATCGAGAAAAAAGAAACGAAACGAATACGATCAAAATTCTAATCCCCATTTTTTTTCCTTAACAAATTCTACCTTTTTTTTACGACACACAAAAACAAACAAATAAACAACAGTCTATTTATTAAACAAAATTATGATATAATCGAAAGAAATTTTACTGATGAATATCGAACACGAATACGATGTGTCACGTTTCTTGTTTTTTTTTTCTTTTAATTTCTTTGTGTACGTTTGCGATTAAGGAACGAATATTCACGCGTTGTTTGTTGGTCGTTTAAATGTATTCCTATTACTACTAATACTATTACTAGTGCTACTAGTGCTATTACTAACTGGTATACGATTAAATCGCGCGAAAGGCGATAAACATAAATCAACATTACGCATGGGGAAAAGATAGAAGGGTTCTAGCATCGACAGCCCTCAGGTAGAAACGATGGCTACTTACCTAAGCCGTTATCACTGGTAAACACATGCCCAGTAATGGCAATAAAAAGTGTCAGCTGTGGTGTTCGCGCGATACGATTACGTGATTCGTGGTATTATTCATTTTCTCCCTATATGCAGATAAAGGATGATCATCCTGTAGGATAAAATCCTACTATTCCCAGGTTTTCCATCTCATTAAAACCCTGATAATATTTTAATACAACGCTTCTCGTTATAAAATGTTCATTTTTTTTAATTTTTATTAAGTAAAAATGTTCGTAATAATTTTCAAGTTTTCGAGATAAATGTTAATAAATATTACGAAGTTTTATAATATCGATAATATATATATGTGTTCCTATGTCATCATAGAATTTCTTTGCTAATCTTGACTCTACAAGTTGACCGGGCTGTCTGATGCTGTGCACGTTCTGCGAAACGTGATTCCCCACGGTGTGACCAAAAGCATGCACCGATGACGTTCGTGTTGCCTACATTCAGGCTTCACCTCCCTCTTCTATCACCCTCATATCCTCTCTCCATCTCTCTCATTCTCTCACCATATCTCTTTCTCTAACTCGATGTTTCCTTCGAAAGCACGTTGTTGCAAGTGCAACGATCGTGACTAATCTTATCTCGTCTTATGAATAATTCAAAATCGAAAAACATAGTATTCCACGGAGGGGTGGTGATGGTGGTGGCAGTGGTGATGGTGGTGGTGGTGAGGGAAGGTCCAGGTAGAGTTTTATTACGATTAAACTTTTTACTTTTTAATTCTCTTATTAAATCGAATTAAAAAACTTTCGAATTATTAAATACATTGGATTGATGAAAAATTGTTTTCGTATTTTGATTAATTTATATATTACAACATTATCATGGAATAATTAATGAAAAATATTCGTGATATTTGTTTATTCAGATCGACCAATTTATTATTTGGATCGATCAATCATTCAAAAAAAAAAAAAAGTCGATGAAATTATAGACAAAGAAAATTGAACAATAAGACGGGTAGCACATTAATAATCATGGTATATATAAAAATATTTTAAAACATCGAACGGGAAAAACAATTTGAAAGCATTTAAAGAAGACCGTATACGAAAACTAGAAGAGAACTCATTTAATTTCTTTATTTAAAAAAATACGAAGAAAGTTTTATTCCAATCCAATATACAATATATATATTAATTACATTTCGAAGTATATATACGAGTTAGATTCATCATTTATTCGCGAAAGTATCCAACAGTTTATAAGGAATATCTTTCCATTTCACTATAGTTTCGAGGAAATTCAAAACTAAAGTTTTGAAGGATGCTCTTTGGTTGATTAATAATACCAGTTCGAGGAAGTTCGTACCTCGTTCATTCGTTCACTGAGGCAGTTATTAAAAGAGAAACCTAAGTAAGAAGGAAAGAGTAAAAGGAGAAAGTGGAGAAGAGAAAAGAGAGTATAGAAGTGACTTTGGCGCAGTTACTGTCCTCGAAGGAATTGCTAAAGTCCTACCATCGAGTTTTCAGATTCCTTTGGGACGTTTCTTTACTGTAAAGGTTGCAACTTTTGGTGTTCCCGTTACTCTCTTTCAACGATATATACCTAACTTGATTAAAAGAATCCTCGTTACAAACATAAGAGCCCATATACAATTTAATTTTTGTAATATTACGAGACTATTATATTTTTTATATTTAATATTTTCTTTCTTTTTTTTTTCTCTCTCTCTCTCTCGTACGATTATAACACAAAATGTTTAGTAAATTAATTTTTAATTGACGAAGTATTTGGATGACGGTCAAGATTCTTTTTTATTCGTGTATTATAATTTTGAAGATTAATAAATTTTTAAATGTAATTTTTGTGCGTGTGGGTTTCTTTTTTTTTTTTTTTTAATAAAGGGATATTTATTTTTGAATAATTATTTGAAAATATAAGTTAAATATTTTCAGTCCGGGTCTTCCTCCCTCTTTCCTCCTTCCTTCCCTTTCTCCCTGTGACCCGACGTCACTAGTTAAAGGTCTGAACCAACAAATTTTAACTTCTAAATATGAATACATTTTGAAACGATATTAAATTTACTTCAATATTTTAAGCTACCGCAAAACTTTATCCTTTATGACTATTATTATCAACAAATTTTTTCAACGTTTTTAAATATAAATTATTAAATTTTCAATGATATTCTTCACACAATTATTACGGGTATCTCAAAGAAAAATTATAGAAAAAAATATGTGTACGCTATGTGGAAAAGAATAAAAAAAGCATTAAATTGAACGAGGGAGGAGGGAGGGGGGGGGAGGGAGAAATGTATGTCGAAGCTTCGCTGAATGTTTCGTAATGAAAAATAATTTTTGTTATGGTTACAAGCTTTGCTTTACCGGAGGATAAAATATCCGCGACAAAATGTCAAAAAAATAAGTTCAAAACTACTTCCCTCGTAATACAAACGATATACTACTACTGGATACGTATGAGAATCCACATAAGTTTTATCTTACACGAGAGGAGGACATTTTTCATTCGCGAATATCACAGCTGTCTACCGCGAAAGTAGATAAATTCAGCAAGACTTTTTGCTTTGAAATTCTAGTTGCGTCAAATGTATGCGCACGACGACGAGCTTCCGGCTGGTAACACGCGTTATAAGTTAAAATGCGGCCATATCGCATAAGCGTAAAAGCGTGGAGCAGAAAACGCAATATTATGGTCTTGAAATACGTGAAAGCTCGTTTTACATTTAAAAATCGACCATCTTCGCATTTCGTTTCGTTTCGTTTCGTTTCTTGGCATCTTGTCGAATAAATTTTCCTCATTCTTACTAGATGATGAATAACATGCTCGATATAAATATTTGTCAATAATTTTTGCGTTTGATTAAAGTTAAAAAAAAAAGACAAAAAAATAATATGAATTAAATATGAATGAATATAAAGATTTTTTCTGCAGTGAAATTTTTCAAACGTAAATGTAACAATATAATTTTATGAATTGATATGAAAAGAGAGTGAGAGAGAGAAAAAAAGAGTGAAATGCAATCCACAATATTCTATATACCTTAAATAATTGTTAATTAATCGAAGGTAATGTGTATCGTTGTTTAAAAGCACGGAGTACAAGTTCGAGGCATCTTCCTCTTCGAAATCAAACAATAAACTGAGTCGTTTGTCCTTTTTGAAAGTTCTTTTATTCAATGTTGTTTATATTACTTTCCAAAGAAGCAAATTCTATTTACTATGCATATTATTTTCGTTATATGTATACATAGCCTTCGGAAAGTCATATAAACAATATTTAATAAAATAAATTCAACTGACACTGATTAGAAGAGAAAGAGTCTTCATCTAACATTGAATTTCGAAAATAACGATACATCGTACTTTTATTTCCTTTTTCTATTAATTTACAATTATTAATTATTGTATTTTTAATACTATAATATATTCTATTAATATTTTAATGCATATTATATATATAGATGTATCAATTGAGATTATTTTCTATATGACAATACGAGTTTTATTTTTATCTCGCGTACGTTGAGGCCACTCATATATTTTTTTCTTTTTTTCTAATCTTCGTTGATCATCATTGATCATCGTCGATCATCGTTGATCTTTGATAACTTGTTGTATCTTTTGTAAAAGATCAATAGATCGGAGGGAAAAGATCAAAATTCTCAAGAGAAGACGTAATCACAAATGGATGGGTTTCTATTCTATTTGAATCTTGTTAATGCTAAGGGATAATAGCACCCTTAAAGGAACAACGGCCAAGGGAATAAATTATTCCTCTTTTCGTGAAATTCGTAAATCGGCCGGAAGTTTGTTAAGGTGTTTAATAGTTGGATTTTAAAGTAACGTTTAACATTTAGTTAAAATCACAGTTTCTCTAATTTATTTTTCTATATTTGTTCGTACTATTTTTTCTCTGAATTAATTTTCTTAAAAAATATATTCAATCTAAATAATAATGAATAAATGATTTAATATTATCAATGAAATTCAATCAATTATTCAATAATATAATAAATAAGTATTTAAAGAAATACAAAAAGAAAAATAATAATTAATATCATTAATCACACAATATTTTCTAAAATAAGAATAGAAATATAATATTTACCCTCGGAATCAGAAGTGTCGGATAGGGGTGGCTCGTTTGCGATATATTGTCGGCCGCTGACCAAATTGTTTTCAACAACCGGTCGTTTGTCCTCGAGTTGTCTTCTGAATCCACGATGGTCGTCCTGTAAAAAAAAAACACAAAATATAAGAAAAAAGAAGAAATCAAATAAAATAATAAAAAGAAATACGACGATATTAAGAGAAATTCAAGAAAAAAAAAAGAAAGAAAGAAAAAGAAAGGAAGAAATCAAAAAGTGTTAGCAAAAAGGACACGTGTCGTTATCTTTTTTACGCGTTCTCGATACACGACTATAAAGTTGAATGGATTGGCTATGTGGGGGTGGCTAGGGGGTGGCTAGGTTGTGCACGAGGGTTGGTTGGTTGATTCAAGATGGTTACGACAGGGTTCGGTCATGATTTCGAGTACTGAAACTTGATTGCTCGGTTGGTAGCACAAATAGGCCAATTCGAAAACGTGTACCGTGTCTCGAGGAGGGATGAAAAAGTCCGAAGAAGTAATCGTGTTCGATGTTGCTGCTAGTATACGATATATAAAAAGAAAGAAAAATACAAGGAAAAAAGGAATGTTGGAAAGGGAAAGCTAGCTAGCTAGCTAGCAAGAAAGAAAGAAAGAAAGAAAGAAAGAAAGAAAGAAGGGAAAAAGAAAGAAAGGGAAGGGTAGAAAAGTTCTTCTCACGATATTTCGCACGAGTTACGTTCAACGAGATTATCTTCGGTGTCCTTTGCGGATTTAAGAGTTTTGCAAGAAGCACGACGTTTCATTCTTTCTTAACCATCCTCTTTCCGTCGCTCCCCCACTCCCCCTCTAGTCCGTTTCTTCCTCCCACTTTTCTTTTTTCTTCCTTCGTTATTTTTTTTTTTCCTTTTTCTACGAGGAAGCTTTTTCTCTCACGCTTTCCTAAAGCTATCCCAAGGTCCTTACGATTCCCCCCCAACCATCGTTCTTAAGTAGATCCCCTTTTCAAGAAAGTTCCTACGAAATACGCGTCGAAAAAGCACCCACTTTCCTTCCTACCTTCCTACCTTCCTTCCTTCTTTCCTTCTTTCCTACTTTCTCAGGTCAAATCAACGAGCTTCTCTTGAATGAAGGAAAGCTTTACGAACCTGTACAATCCCTCTTTTACTCCCTCTCCATTCTATTCTAACCCCCTACAACTAGTATCTTTTATCGAAACCTTTAACCGTGTTATTCGTTAGATACATGTTTTGTTATAAAATGTTTGAAAATGTTCTCTCGAATTTTATCGCTTTTAAATTTAACGATTATATCAGCGTTAAACTTCATATACGTGAATTGATATTATATTAATGTGTTTTATTTGTACGCATATATAGAAATTCAATTTCGTCGGTCATCCTGTTTCATATTTTCGATTAAATAAACGTCAAATTATTTGATACGAATTGATTTGTTAACGTTACGTTTTATTTTTTTCCCTCTTTTTGTTTTTTTTGATGCAAAGATTTTTCAATCGAAATTTTAAATTAATACAAAAGGGTGAGACAAAAGTGATATATAATAGAATAACAGGGTATTTTCGTAAAGCGGTTGGTAAATATCCGAGCAAACAATTATATCACACAATTCCAGGATGCTAAGTAGTATTATAGTTTCTTCGTTTTGTAATTCAGTAGCGCTTTAAATACTCGTTGTTGCTCGTCTAGCAAACTCCTGGGAATCGGAATAACGTTGGAGGTGTAATACGACGAGGAATACGACGAGGAAGACGACGAGGTGGTGGTCACAGCTGTTGGTTGAATCGCAAACGTCGCAAATGTCGTAAACGGGGTAAATGCACTTCGAGTAATAACATCGGATATCAAAAAAAAAAATAAAAAAATTACTTTAAAATATCTGCCAAACTCTAGTTCACATATAAATATATTTTCTTTTATTTTTTAAATAACAACGAAAATGTCTATTAAGAAAATCTATAAAAATATTTACGTTTATCTTTAAACGTTCTACGAATAAAATTTCATCTAATTTATAATTCTTTTTTGTGTTCTCGGTTGAGTGGAAAATATTGGTCACGCGATTGCCAACAAATAATTTTCTTATCATCACGTACGTTCGTGGGATATATATATATAAATATATGTTTTTTAATTCAACGATATATCGTTATTACTGTCACGTTATTAATTAATTCTCTAATAAAATTCCAAATTCTACGAACACAAATATTTTATATATGCACCAAATATTCTATTTTATCTTTTCGATATATAAATCTTGTTGTAACAGTGTATAATACAAAAAAAAAACAAAAGAAATAAAATATCGATCGCAAAAGAGTTAAAATATTTATCTTAATATTGTAAACGAATAAACAATAATCTTCCAGTTACAACGATTGAATGAAATTTTATCTTCAAAAACAAAATTCTAATCAAATTTTACATTTTATACATCATACGATCAAACAATCTAATATATTACAATTTATATATAATAAATAAAAGAAAAATAAAACGAAATATAGCAAATGCGTGACCAAATTGTATTTATCACGCAATAGAAAAAATGAAAATCAATTAGACGAGACGCCAGGTGGGAGGAGGAGGAGGGAACGTGTAGTAATGAACGATATACGTCAAGATAAAGATACGCGTTGTAAATGTGGTAGACAATGGAATAGATTATCTGGATTTAGAGCCGAAATGCACACCTTATCGTCCTCTCGCACTCGGTTCTCTATCTGCTACAGGATTCCTCTGACACAGGTATGCACATACGTGTACATGGGGGACGACGATCTGCGCACGGCAGCAACATGCGCGATCTAATCTGGATTAGAGCGAACGTTGGCCTTAGTGCATTGGGACGCGTCAGCATTTGGGTCTGCCCATGATGTACCTACCTACCTACCTACCTAACGCGCCCTTCTCCAACATCTCTCTTAATAGATCTTATTGTTTAATATCATAGAGGATTATTCAAACCCACCTCTAACTAAATTAATACGAGCAAATTGGTCTCATACATTATTTAATTTCAAATTCAAATTGATACGATTAAATGATAGACTTACAATGAAACATGTAATCGATTGATTTGAATTTTTTTATTTTTTTTTTTTTCGTATTTCATAGCTTTGTAATATATATTTAAGTTTTATTTGATTTGTTGTGTAATTAAAAAATAGTATTCACTTTTTGTAATTTGAAAATTATTCCGGTTTAATAATATAGTATAGGATTATTTAAACTATAAATGAATTAATCTGAATTACGCGTAAATGATATCTCATCATACATTATCTAATTTCAAATTCAAGATTTGGGTATGATTAGAAAATAGAATTACAATGCCACGTAATTAGTTAAGAGAACTTGATATATTATCTTATAATATTAATCTATGTTAATAATTTTGAAATAAGCTTACTTGTTGTTTCTGTAATGCAGCAACGTCACCGCAAACAGGTCCCAATCCTGTAAGTTCGGTGTCCTTTCTAATAACCCATTCGATTAATTCGCGTAAGGATAACAGCAACGCGTTCCAATGTTCCGTGTTACTTTCCAATCGATTTCTGCAACAATATAAAAAAAAAAAAAAAAGTCAAACAAATTATTATCACAAATAAATTGCATTTATTTCGTCTTCAATTTTTGTAGAACAGAATATTTCGTGATTCATAATTCACAATAAGAATGATTACTTGTTAACAGTTTTGAAATAACAGGAAAAGTTTTTTATATCCAAAAAAAAAGACAAATAGAAATTGTCTGCATATAAAAAACATTAACGTTTCTCAAACATTGAGAAATGATTCCCCTATGAATTTCGAAAACGTTGAAATAGGAATAACGATAAATCGTTAGTTGCAAGTTAAAAGTGTCGAGAGAATAGTTGCAATTTCTCTTAAGGTTAGTTTCAACAAACGTGATCAACCGGTGCACGTAGTTGTAAGTTGAATTACAATAAACGAACGAATCCATTCGAGTAAGTCGATTTATCATGACTAAATCATAATTCCTGAAACAAGAACGGGAAGAAAATCTAACGATAGTGTGCCTGCCTGCTTGCTTGCTTGCTTGCCTGCCTGTCCTGTACCGAGCTACAGGAGTACCGGTTTAAACGTAATAAAGTAAGAGAAAATGAAATTGGCGAGAACGGGCTAGGTGAACGTTATAATTCAACTCGAGGGAACAATTTAGCGGCACAATCCCAATCTAAACAGCCGGGCAAAGCCGGTTCAAACTTCTACCATAAACAACGAGCGTACTATTAACAGCAGAGAAGAGTCCAACTAACCGTAGAACATTGCTAGCTAGCTAGCTGGCTGAACTAAGCTATACACTAGCTAGACTAGCTAGACTAGCAAGCTTGCTAACGTTTCTACTTGTCTCTGGTTCGCACTTTCTCACAACCGATCTACCTTTAAGGAAGAGAAGCAGCCAGGGAATAGCCAAGCCCTTGTACCTTAGATAGGTAACTTAAGTGAGTCCGCATGGTGGTGGTCGATGCTAATTCGATAAACTCTCCGTTTATGCGTACCCATCCTATCTCACTTTGTACAAACTACTAATTCACCTCTTGTCAAAAGCTACATCGTTATACCGCTTGAATATTTCTACTTTGTATAAATAGTAGGAGGTAATAACGGAGTAAGACAAGATTTCAATAAATATTCAATAATTATATATCTTATATTTAACTATTAATACTATCTACAGTGTGTGTATAAAATATCTCGTTAGATGTAAACTTTAGTTTTAGAAACGTTCATTGTTCTTAAACTGGTGTCTTTGTTAATCGTTAATTTAAACATTTATATTCTTAAATTTTGATACCTCATATATCTTACACGTTTGATAATTTTGATCAAAAGTCCAAGTAATGGATATTTTTATTTTTTGTTATATTCCGAAAATATTATTTGCCCTTAATCCAAGATGATTATTTCAAAATCTTTCTCTTGAGTTTCTCATTAACGTTATAACAGAGAGAATTATCTGGGATTGAATAAAGATGATGTGGTTGGTATGCTTGAAGGAATGTTTCAGGGAATCATCTAGCATCTAACGAGAATCGAGAGTCCGCGATTCTACTCGTAATTAATCCTCCGATCGCAGCCTCATTAGCGTGCAACCGTTCGGATTAACATCTCGCCTCGCATAGTACTTCTTGATGGATCGCATACATCTCAGTAGCATTGATTATATGCGATGTAGGCACGTGATCAATCCACTTTATGGGTCTGCTGGGAAACCAAGACCCTTGAATCGGCTTGTGGCATTGGTTAATGAGAACGCAAATATCGGTCGAGACTTATCAATCGAACAAGCCTCTCTCTCTCACTCACTCACTCACTCACTCTCTCTCTCTCACCCTTAGTCCTTCACTTTATCGAATTGCGATAAATACCTACTCCCATAATTATCATCGTAAGATATTAACATTTTATGATTAACATATAATACGTACACCTACGTACGTTAAATAAACTTAAATCATCTTCCGATGGATTACCAATGTTTTATTATATTTGTAAGGAACAAAAGATAAAAACAGAGAGAGAAGGAAAAAACAAAAATTTTTATCTTCAAATACCTTTTCTTCTCGCCTCCTACAACCGAGCTCAGAATCTCAAAGAAAACGTCTGTTGCAACGTGTCCCTTTTTACGACATCTTCCAACCCTTCCACCCCCCTTTGTTCTTTTGTTCATGCAAAAACCTCATTTCGTGATATACTCTTCTTTTCTCCCAGGAGAATTCGAGTCTCACGAGATATAAAGGATCTTTTGGAATTTTACTTGTTCTCGGTATCTCTTCTGGTTCCTACCTGAGATAGATCTGTCATCATCGACCTTTGTTCAGAATACAATCCTATTACGACACATTATTCTGCTAATGTACTAGTCGCTTATAACCGCAAATCTTAACCAAAATCTTTACCTACAGGAAATTAGAAAACTGTCTGTTTTAACAGTAGGATCGTATGGGGTGTGGGAGGGGATGGTTTTTGGTTGTAGGAAAGGTTTAACTCTTATCTCAAAGTAATTTTCAAACTGGAATCGAGATTCATGGAAATTGAGCTTCGATTTCCTTCGCGATCGGATCCTAGCCAGTAACGGATGCGGACGCGGATGCGGATGCGGGTGTTGGTGTTGGTGTGAGTGTAGGTGTGAGAGTACGGGATGCGGGTATAGGTGCGGCACATGGTGTCGAACGAAAATTACCCTCGACCCACGGACCAAAGAGCACGAATATTGGGAAACACGTTGGGCACTCGGGTTTCGATCGACGGGACACCCTGTCATTCCGATGCAATAAAGGGCTCGGCTCTTATCCTCTATCTATCTCTCTCTTCCTCTATTTTCCTCTCTTTTCCTCTCTCGAACGAACGAACGAACGAATGAACGAACGATCTCAGTAACTTACTCGATGAGTTTCACGCGTGATCTCGCAGATATGCGTTCGTTTCATCTCAATATCTTTTCATATGAGAAACTCACATTTTTTTTTATATTTTTTTCCCTCGTCCAAACAATTTTTACTCTTACTATTTTATTGGTTGGTATTGTAAAGTATCATTGGTTGAATAATATTCTGATAAAAAGAATTGTTAAACGTCAAATATATTAATAATTAATCTAATGGTTTATGTTCAATTCTGATATGAAAGTCATCGTTTGCTAGAAGAAAGTTCTACATGATAAATTCTAAGATATACCATGGTGTACTATGGGCTTTCATGGTTTTATAGCTTCGTGGGATGGATAAAGGACCTATGTTGCATTAGCAATGCTTTCACTTGTCGTAACTTTTTCTCCCATCTCTGTTCGGTATGCAATATGTAACAACAATACCCTAGGAATTTATTACGTAAGAGTTTGGTCCAACAAAAAACATCTAAAACGAGTTTCGATAAAAATTTAATATTGGTCTTTCTTTCTCACAACTATACAATTTTTAACAAGTGCAAATATTCTAGGCGGGGAAATATATTTTTTGGTAGTATTACAGAGAATGAATAGCGAATATTTTTTGCTTATTATTTTTGTTTTTTGTGTTTTTGTGTGTGTGTGTGTGTGTGTTTTTTTTTCAATCAAAATGTCTACACAGGAAACTTAGTTCGAACGTAAACGTGGCAACGATAACGATCGCCGTTTGAATTTACGATACCACCTGGACTGTTATCATTTTGCGTTACCCCAGGATACGACTCTCTCGTAACTCTTTAAATATTTTCTTTTTTTTAAAACCACGATCTAGATTTCCAACGAGATTTCTCTTATCGTTATAGTTTCGCGTTAAATGTAACGCAATCTTGCCCGTACATTCTTATTTTTCATAAAAAGGTTCTTTATTTCTTTATTTTCTTTCTTTTTTTCTATAGTAAAAGATAGATAAATAAAAAAAAAAATTGGATTATTTGTGTTAGGTTACGTTCTATCCAATTGTTCGGCTACCACGATTATATTCTTCTTTTCGCCTATCTTTTTCTTATCAGTTAACTAGCCCGCGTGTTATATCGAGTTTTAAGGATCGTTAAGAAAAGAAAAGAAAAGAAAAGAAAATAAATAACGAGCTCGTAAAAGGAATATCTATTCGTTCTTTTGGCCCTTATGCTGTAGTAAGAAAGTTAACGTCCAGGATTCTTTCCCAAAGCCATAAACGATTTTGCGTTTATGACGACGATCCTCGTTTCAAAGGGATGTGATGATAAGTTCTTAGATAAAAGTGAATTCATGATCGCGATTCCCTTATTTGACCCTTCCCAATCTCAAATGATCAAATAACAAAATTTGATTTGAACATTTCATTATAATATATTATCCTTTTCCCACGCGAACACCTAAAATAAATTTATATTCAAAGTATAATACTTTTTAATTTATCTAGAAAAAAAAAAAAAAATAATTGAAACAATAGAAACGATTAAATTTTGACGCAATTCACGCTCTATCCCTATCATCAATTTCGTTGATTATATTTTCAGATGAATAATATATTTTCTATTATATCTTAACACACGATCACGTTTTCCATTATACGAATCTATATTTTCTTATCAAGCAATACGCGTTTATTCATATATCTATATATATAAAATAATAATAATATAATATAATAGAAACACTATTGATAGACCGTCGACGAAGGTTTCTCATGGAGTCAGGTGTAATCCATTTTTATTACTCTATCCCCGTAGTTGGTTGTGTTAGGATGTGTGTAAGGATTAAATAAACGATGGGACGCATCTGGCACGAAGGATGCGTAACGAGCATCGAATATATGGAGTTTGAGAGAGGTAAAAGGAGAGTTAGCTAGCTAGAGTGAATATGTGTATGTGTGTGTGTGTGTATGAGAGAGAAAGAGAGAGAGAGATAGATAGACAGAATGGATAAACGCGAGCATTTAGTAGATTCAGAACATAGTAGGGAACATATAGGAATAGGGCTCGACCTATTGACGCTCTTCTCCATCCCTCCCTCCCTCCCTCCCTCCCACCGAAGGTTCATTTCTCTGTTGCAAAAGCTCTTTCCAGAGATTAACGCTAAGCTACACCTTATCATACTTTAAGCTTGTATTACTGTTACCCTAGGAAACGATATAGCCTTAGAATAGATGCAGCAACAACCTAACTGCTGGACACAGTCGTAATGAGTTACGATCGGCTTGGGGATTCATGGAAAGTTTTGAGAGGCTCGCCGCCACCACCATCACCACTATATTCTCCTACTACTAGCAGGAACCAGAAACTAAACTACTCTACCCTATCTCGTTTGGTATTCGATTCGCATACCACCAGACTTTCTTCATCTCTACATTTCCTATCCTTCCTATTTAGACCCACAGAGGAAAATGTAATAATAGAATATTTCGATTCATATCGAAAACTTTTATCAATATTTTATTGAACATTTGAATAAATAATCAGATCGTATAGGACATAAGTATTATATAATGTATAAGATGTATACGAGAATATAATGTAATGAAAAAAAAAAACCAAATAATCTTTATATTTTGTATATTTTAATATGCGTTAAATTTATTATTTTCAAATTTACCTTAATTAAATCCAATTATCGATAACACGCGAAGTTGTAATTTTATTCAAGAAAAAAAGAAATAATGAAGAATCAACGAGATAAAATAGATTAATTAAGTAAGATAAGTTTAAAAGAAAAGAAATGAGTCTCGACTTTTGAAACTTAACGGATCGGATCAATTTTTGATCATTTTCGCGGTAACTTTTTTGGAATAGAAATGTGAAAGAACAAAAAATAGGGGGCGTGGGGGGGGGGTAAGGGAGGAAAATAAAGGAAGGTGATTTTCAGTGTGCGAAGAAAAGTGGCGAAGGATTCGACTGAGCGAGGTAGAGTTAGGAGAGGTGAGATGAGGTGTGGTGAGGTGAGGTGAGGTGGAGTGAGGTGGAGTGGTGGTCCGCACGCGTGAACGCACTACTGCGCTAATATTCCCGCAGTCGGGAGAAGTAATGGCGGCCGGTACGCGTCGCAGCACTCCTCCCCAGACTCCGAGACACCTTTAATTATTCCTCCCGATTCCTGGTTCACAGTTGACAGGCATTGCTTTGCCCTCGCAACCGCGAGATACGCCTTTGGCTGGGCTGTTTTCGCGCATTCGAGTCTCGAGAACCGCAAAGTAATGTACGTACCTATACAATCATAATCACAGACACACACACACATATATATATATATACAACGTGTGTACACACGAATGTGTGTAACTCGCGTTAAGACATCTAAACAACACATATCATACCTTACTAAGTACTTAGTCTCTAACTTACACACACTCTCTCTCTCTTACTCTTTCTGTATGTGTATAATCTACAAACGTGTATCCTATACTATTCCTTAAGCCTCATTCTTAGTGTTAGATGGATATACTACAAGACTATACTAAATCTGCGATTGCGGCCTGGTATTTCGCATTCTCTACTATATCATGCTCATGAATATAACCACAGGTGTTTCTCTAATTTGTTTATTTTTCATTCTAATCAAAAAATTATTCTCATCAATGTATTAAAGTTATCTTTGTTTTTTTTTCTTCATTTTTTAAATACCTCTTTTTAGAGATACACTCTTTTGTCTATGCGTAGAATACCATATCGAGTTATAAATCAATCTGAAATGGTTCATAAAATGGCAAAGAATGCGATGCTGCAAATTTTTACTACTTTGCCATTTCTATGAAAAGTTTCGGTAAATATTTTTAATACTAAAAGAGAGTGAATAGATTTTAATGAAACTTATATTAAATTAAAGTACACTCTTTTATCTACGCGTTGAATACCATATCGAGTTATAAATTTAGCATGTAAACTTTAGAAAATGTCTGTGAATCCAACGCTGTAAAGTGTGTATCTTTGCAATTTCTTGAAAAAAATTTTGGTAAATATTTTTTATATTATTTTATATTTTTTATATATTTAAAATTCACAAAAAATAAACAAAAGAAAAGAAATAATAATAAATCGCGAAGAAATCTATCGAATATGCATGTGAGAATCGTAGCGAAACGAGGAGAAAAAAAAAGAGAAAAGTAAAAAAACCGAACTTCGTTCGAATAAATTGTACGGGAAAAAAATATTCTTGCTTTTAACGTCCGGGCGTCATATACTTCAGACGTTTCTCCACCTACCTCTACGACGTTTAATAGTTGAAAATAAAAACGCAAAATAAAAAAGACAAAACAAAAAAACAAAAAAAAACAAAATTCGTTTAAAACGAAAGAAAAGAAAGAGATATATTACTGCAACCGAATTTGACAATATGACACTCGTTTACCAAGGATTTTTCTTCCATATCATTTCTTTTGCATTATTATAAATGTGCACTATCCCTTTCCTATCCCATGTCCCCTTTTTCCCTCCCACCCTTCCTCCTACGATATTCATCCACGTTTCATTCATGTTGCGTTCGCGTTTCATTCATGTCTCAAACCCGTGTCAAGTCACCCCTTAAACCCAGCGCTTCATTGTAATCCCTCCACCACTATCGCCACTTTTTCTACATCATCCCTTGAAAAGCCAGCGTCAAATCCAAATATGATGGAAAAGTGTGACGTCTAATGTAAAAAAAATCCGATAGACATCGGAAAAGTTTCAACGTGAATTTGCTAGTGTTTCTTTCTAAACCTTCACTTCATTCATTAACTATCCTACTACCAACCGACCAAGTTGATTGATTACGATCTTATGAACAGTTACAAGATGATCCTACCAGTATCGCGACAGAGATTAATGATGCGTGTTTCAAGATCGGAATATCCTTTCCCCCATTCTCTCTTCTCTCCTCTCCTCTCCTCTCTCCCCCCTAGGCATCTCTATTAATTTAAACTTCCACAAGTATCTCTTCACTTTGAGAGGTGAGTTTAGATTCCGGTAGCTATTATATTCGGATTGATTCGAATCTTCGTGCTGATTTATAAATACAACATATATTTGATATACATTATTAAGTTATAAATACGTGGGTGTGTGGGTTACATTTCTTTTTCTTTTTATCTAAATAAAAGCGAGTTTGATTGAAAAAGAAAATTCTTACAATGTTAGAATTAAAACCTTTCACTTATGAATATACTCAAAAAATTACATATATATAAAATATTATAATTAAGTCTATACACACACACACACAACATCAAATAAATATTATTTGCATTCGATTGAAAATGAACAAACAATAAAGAAATAATAAGATTGTGTAAAAAAAGATCGGTAATGCAATTGAATTGAATAGATTTATTATTTAAAAATACTAATAATAGCAAACATTTGTATATCTTTTTCTCTTAAAGTTCCTAATAAGAAAGAAATGGAATAATAGTAGATCGTTTGGTTTGGCATGAACGTTTGGCTAGTGGATAACGTACGAATCTGTATCGGATCGGTATATATATACTTTTCCTATCCCCCTACCCCTCTAACCAATGTTTTCCTATCTCTATTTCTCTTCTCAATTCGTGCCAAAAAGGATCGGCAGCTAAATTATCAGGATCGCTGTTTTCAAACCAGTATTTGTGGCCTGATTGCAGACCAATCTTTGGTTATATATATATATATGTGTGTGTGTGTATATATATATATAAAGAGAGAAAGAAAGATAGAGATAGATAGAATGAACGTTTGAAAAGAGAAAGAAGTTTAAAGGTAAAGAACCACGCAAGTTTTTAGGTTTGGTAACCGATATCTTTATATATATATGTATATTTAAATACGACTGCGAATTTTCTTTCTCCCATTTCCTCTCGATCATTTTCTCTTTTTGATTTCGAATACAAAACCACCATTAGTAATAGAACCGTACGAATTTTCACTAAAAGTTTGGTCTAATTAATAATATATTGATCGGATTGATCAGATCTATCTTGATCACTTTCAAAATCGATTGATCCGATTTACAACGATCTCACGTACTTAACATATATTTCTTTTCTTTCTTCTTTTCCTACTTTAATTATATCACACGTAAATATATGTGTACATGTGTGCATATGTGTATGGATGTGTTTACGTATATGGATATATTTTTTCTTTTTTTTTTTAAATATTTTATTTTCTCATATAAATATGAGAAATATATTTTTTAAATACTTTTCGTATAATACTTATAGTTGGTGAAAGATTTGGGAAAATAGTAAATCCTATTGTTTTCTTTTTTTTTTTTTTGTTTTCACGCGTAGAAAAAAAGTGTCGTCCCATCCTTTGGTCGATTTACCTTCGGTCTTTCATTTTTTCTTTTGTTCTTTTTTTTGTTTTTCTTCTTTTTTTTTTTTTTTTTTTTACCAGCACACACCACTCGTTGAATTTAATGTCATCCGACGTTTTTAGGCACAAATCACGAGTAGAGAATGCAAAGTACCGGGACACACTCTGGGACGTTGACCTACTTTCATATCCGCGTGTATCCTACCGTTAGAATTTAGGGAAGGGGTATATGTATATTTTTTCACGTTATTTTGATTACGGCTTGCCGACGAGGAAAATCCAATATTTATGGTAGCCAGGAATCAAGGTTGCTTAAAAAAACCGAAGCATGAATATTCGTACAATTGAATTAGTCTTTCGCCGAGTTGAATATCAAAAATTATTACCTACGTGTATGCTATGAAATGGATAAATAATACGATTTATTTAATTTTTCGCGATCCTACTATTTTTGAAACGTTGATCTTGATTTTTTAGAGTTAAATATATAAAAATCGTATTAAAATAGATTAAACGAAAAATACGTAAAGTAATTTACGTTACAATCATTGTAATTTACATTACAATTAGAAATATCAACGATTTGTACAAATATTACAAACGGGTTGACATTTTTTCTTGATGCACTGATAGCCTAATTTTTGTTTATTTACTATTGACAAAACGCGTGAAAATTATTTATACTTGATGCAAATGAATTGAATTATTATTACTCATATTGCATATTTCTTATTCGTTTATTAACAAAAAAACAAAAAATAGATAAAAATACAAATAACGATAAATTATTACTCACCTTATTGCCATACTCTTCGCTTTAAGATGATGCCATCTTTGATTCATCTCATCCAATCGACGTTGTAACATAACCGCGTCATCCTGACTCGCTAAAGAGCTCAACAGCTTGCGCCCGGTGCCATTTAACGATGCATACACGTCCCGATGGGTTTCGATTTCTGACTGGAGGTCCTGCAACAACAAAAACAAAAAATGACGAGTCAGTACCAAATGTTATTCTAACACATTAATTTATGCTAACACTTGTTATACTTGCTACAAATTATCCTATAAAATAAACGTAAATGGTAGGTTCCTGTATTACAATAAAAAATGAGTACCGTTTGTTTATGGTTTGTTAATTATAAAAGCGGTTTAACGAAATAAATCACAAAATTGAAATATTTCAAGATTTACCTTTATGAAAAATTGTACCGCCACGATGAGAAAAAATAATCACCGTTCTTATTTTTTGCACTGGTGATTATTAAAAAGTCTAAGTTAAGTGAAATAATTTTCGTTTAATGCAAACTCGTAGTAAATATTTTTAGTTTTGAAAAAAAGAAAAGAGAAAATTCTAAAAATGTAGGAACGTATTTTGCCTAGATTAAATCAACGGGTATGGATTTCCTATAACCCTTTTTAATATTTGACGCGGTATAAATAATATTTTTATTCCCAGAAATATCGAAAAAGAAGAAAAAAATTGATTTTACATGATTCCCATTAGAGATTCTTTAGAAACTCGGTCATGAATCGTTCGGTTGACTTTTATGGTACAAGAAGAGACATGAGAGGCAAACGGGAAGATAATAGAACGCGATGACTGAAGAAAGAAGAGAATAAATTAACGGATGGTGATGGTGGTGGTGGTGGTAACCGTGTATAAAAAGCGAAAGAAAATAAAAAAGAAAATTCTTGTCGAGGTGGGAATAATAATGAGGAAATATATTATATAAGATAAAAGAACAAAAAACAAAAACGACGAAGAAAAGAAAAGAAAATAAATTACAAAAAAACAAACAAAAACAAAAACAAAACAAAAAGAACAGCAAAAAAAAAAAAAGAAGCGAAAACAAAAAACCATAAAAGTGAAACGCATTCAAGCCCCCTTTCCGTCATCATCCCCATAGGACGCGTATCGCGGTTAGAACGCGTGGATGGAGATGATTTATGCGGCAGCTCGGCGTTGTGCTTTGGTGTTGCCAGGACGCGGGTGCGGTACGATACGATACGATACGATACGGTGCGGTATGGTGCCGGTACCGGTGCTGGTTCTGGTACTGGTAGTGGTGCTGGTGCTGGTACTGGTGTTGGTGTGGTAGGATACGTCGTCGTGTTGCGTTTCTTCTGTATGAATGCATGTATGTGTATATGTGCATACGTGTACATTCGTGTGTGTTAGAATCTCGTTGGTGTGTCGAAAAGCAGCCACTCCCTGACAGACACGTGTGCCACACGCTGGCCAATGAAAATAAATCGTTGTGTGTGTGTGTGTGTGTGTCAGTGAATTAAGAAATATTCGTTTTGTTGATATTCGTCGCTCTTGTATTCGCAAGTTTTTTTTTCCTTTTTATTATTTTTTTCTGTTTGTTTTCAAACGCGACGAAAATATATATATATATATTTCTTCTTTTCCTATTTCTCGCATTTGCGTAAATAATCTTTTGGGGAGGAATGAAAGAGGGGAAGGAAAAATTGAAAAATTTTTCATCTTTTTTTTACTTATCGCCCTAAAGGAAAAATCTATTCGAGCGTAAATCTATAGAATATGTTTTTTTTAATTTACTTTTGCTTTTCATATTGTTCACTTTTATTATTATTTCATCCCTCGTTTTTTTCTTTTTTTTTTACTTTTCCCCAATAAATTTTGCCATTTTTCTCATTCTTCGTTTGCTTTTATTTTATATTTTCGATATTTTTTGATCCCCTTTTTGTTTTTACTTTTCATATCATTGTTATTTCATATCAAACTGTGTAGATAGAACAATAACGTATATTATATTATATTGTTCGAATTTCGATTGGTGGAGAGTATTATTGAATAATGATATTGCAGACAATAGGGAAACGCGATAAGGTAAAGGAATCTCATCTACACTTGAATTCAGTATCCTGCTTACTCACGTATTAAACATAGGTTTAATCAAGGAGCATCTTGTTGAAACCTTGTACCTCTTTGAATACACGTTCTCTCTTCGAACTAAGCTTTCAAGTAGCATCAACTTCAACGATAAATGCTTCGTGAATGTCCTTTAAGAAGCTTTTGATTACACTACCCTTATTCCTATGAGGTTCGTTATATCAAGGACGACGACTACGACGACGACAATTGATTGACAAATTGAATAAAGTTCCCTTAATTTTCCTATTTTATATATCGCGTGAATTGACTTAAAAGTAAATATACACGTTGATAATGATACATTGATAAGGTGCGAATGATATTACCTCGAAATCATCTATCATTCTGATTTAAAAATAAGATTTGTCTAATTAATAATTTTAACATTGTAATATTCATGTTAAATTTATCATATTAGCAAAAAATTACTTATTCATTCTAACAAATAATTGATTGTATTTTTCTTTTATAAATAAAAGTAAAAAGAAATCTCGAAGGATGATTCCTTTTTTAACGTTATTCTGAAAATAAAAAACAAATAGAAAATGAAAATTAAAAAGAAAAGAAGAATAGTCTCTCTAAAATTTTCCGTTCTGTCAAATTCGTCAAAACCAGTTTCCAAGGTCTGTCACTAAACGTCGACAATTTCCTTTCCCTTTGATTTTTGTAACTCTACGGATCGACGCTTCCAAGTTGCACCCCTTTTTATTATCCATCTCTCTCTCTCTCTCTCTCTCTCTCTCTCTCTCTCTCTCTCTCACTCACTGAACCACTATCTACCACTCACCCCTCATGCCGACCCCGTTCGACGTATGACGCGTCCCATTCCCATCTGTTTTGAAATGTGTGTGTGTGTGTGTGTGAGAAAGAGAGAACGACGACGAATCGGCTCACGATATTTTCCAACTGCAGTTTTCCGCAAACGTTGACACGGTTGACAGTCGATGGGCGCATCGTCGAGACGAACGTAATAAAAAAAAATAAAAAGCGTAGAAGAAAAAGAAAAAAAAAAAAGGAAAAAAAAAGAAAAGAAGATAGAGTAACGTTAGGTATGGTTGTGCTCTAGGGCTGATTCTATTCGATACGACGTAGCAATTTTTGAGATCTGACAGATCGATCAAACAACCACCCCTCCCCCCACCCCTTACATAACGCTTCTTCCTTTTTCTTTCACCATATTGCACTTTCCTCTAACAAAGAAAAAAGAAAAAAAAAACAAAAAACCACTCGTGGCACACAGGATATGTGTTACGAATTATATTTGTTCCTAGTTTATTTTTCGCAAAGGATTGTTTTTGGATTTAAATGGTCAAATTTGTAAATGAATATAAATGAATATTTTATAATATGGATATATCGTATATAATATAATATAAAAGAAAACCAAGAAAAAAAAAACAAATAGAAGAGAAAAATGTTCGAAACGAATTAAATGGAAATTACAAAGTGGGTTTGTATATGACCACCCACGTGGCAGGTAATATATTTAATTCATTTCTAAAGTTAATGAGAGTCTACTTTCTTGAATTTTCAAATCACCCGTAAGAAATTTATTCCCAAGGGTTGGTATAGGATACGTCAAAGTGGTAGAGATAATCGATACTTTGATTAACGATCTAAAGTTAAAACGCAAGAAATTTCTATCGAAGAAATCGTTTAACGGGATAGTAGTCTTAACGATTACCAAAGTCTTAATGACTTTCGATAAAGAAAGATGTGACAATTGGAAATAAGAAAGATAAATTGACTGAGATTAAACTATTATTTGTTAAAGTATATGTGTATTTGTGTGTGTGTGTGTACGTGTACGTCAGTGTGATAATTAGATATAACGTATCAAATATGCGTACATATTTGTTTGCGAATATAGAATTTAGGTAACGTCGTTCTAAGTTATTTAATGCTTTAGACACGACCAGGAGTGACATAAATAAATCAATCTTAAGTAGGTTGCTTAGGTATATACACGCGTTAGTACCCAAAATTCAATCAGAGACGCAAATCCCAAGGTTGATGCAAACTTTGGGCTTCTCGGTTACCATGTCTCCAATATTCCAGACTTTGTCATGCTGTGGAATATACCAGTGATGTACAAAGTTATTGCATTTGGTTAATGCAACCGAATATCAGAAAAGTATATTTTATCTAAAACATTTTATCATTCGAGTAATGGGAAACCTTGACTCGTATTTCCTTCAATAAAATTAAAATTGACTTTTTGCATATTACATTATGTTGGTATTGCATTCGCAAAAGAATTTGATTATGACAGAAAATAATCTTACTAGCTTGCCGTTTAAAAGGTATTTGATGGTTGGCAAGCATTATTCTACGAAGGTTCGAGTAAACTATTTCTCATCGTTCTCAACGCTTAACTAAACTTCAACTTTGATGTTAGATCGAGTACAAAAGCATTAACCTGAACACATTTTCACTAACTTTCTCTATTATTATTATTATTATTATTATTATTATTATTATTAATATTATTATTAAACATATTATCTCCATGTTTAAAATACTTATTGTTAGTTGCTTTTAGTTCGATGCAAAATTAAACATTACTACCACCAACTTTAACTTTCATACTGAATGATAAATTGACTGAATTTATTTTTTACTTGAATTTTCCTGATACTATATTAATATTTCACAAACGTCCCTAACGACTTTCCTTCCATCCACGATGATGAAGTTTGCGATGAAGTTTACGACTATGCGGTATAGATGCTAGAAAACGAGTTGAACTTTTCCTAACGATGTTATAATTATGAAATCTTTGTTGCATCCTGAGGGATAAGCCCTGACTGCATTTGTAACAAGAATTAGCGGTATTTGCGTATATTTCTTTCTTTTTTGCTTTTGTTATAATAAATTAATTTAAAATAAAATTAACAAATTATCTTATAAAGAATATCATATAATAAATATCAATTAAATCTCTTTATATACTATATAAATACATAACTTTTATATTATATTATAAATTATAATAATTATAAATAAAATTATATTATATATACATATATATAAATATAAATACAAGATTTATTGTTTTAATTATTTTTTATTGTTGAGATTAATCGTTAAGCGAGAATTTGTTTACCTGTTCGAAGAGATGCAATTCGGCAAGAAGCGTGTAGGATATGTAGATGTAGCGTGCATCGTCAGCTTTCTTTCGGGTACGTACCCCCCGAGGAAAATTCCCCTGCAGGGTGGCACGCCCCCCGGGCCAAGTGCCCCCCCTTGGTCCACGTTGACGATAATCCACCGTAATAACAAACCCCAGACGCGATCCAAAGTGCCTTCATCAGGCCACATTCACTTTTCCTTATCTTAACACTTTGTCCATTTCTCTTTCATTTCATTTTTATCATAGTTCGTTGTTCGTCAGATTTGTTCTCACACATTTGACGATTTATCACCGTACAACACTTTTTCAAGATAAAACAATAAATTTTATTTTCCCTCATCGTAACGTAATTAAGAAAAATTGTTCTATTTTTTAATTATATAAATATATTCGTATTTTTTCTTATTCGAGATTCATTTATATTTTTAATTTATTATCATTTTTTTCTTGTAATTATATTATAGGTGCTCTTATCGAGTTTATTGAATACTAAAATGATGAATGCACACTTTAATCAACTTTACGAGAGGTTATTGAAATTTTTCTCGATATATAAATAAATGAAAAAAAAACTAAGTAGTAGTAGTAGTAGAAGAAGAAGAAGAAATAGAAAAAGAAGAACCAGAATAAGAAAGGAGTTTACGTGAACCACAGATAACGGAGGATCCAGTAACAGGAAGAATAGAAACTTTTCATTGGCTCGACTCTACTACTAGGCTAATTAAGTCCAACGATACTGCTCGAAATTCGTCGTTTCTTCGTGGGTTAAAGTGAACTATCGGTAAAGTTTTCTCGCTCGATTTCGATGCATCAAAGAACCTGTAAGTATTGGATTGCTTGAAGAAGTTTTCACCGAGATACGGTCTCGGTCTTACATCTACTTTGAATTTTAAAGTTTAGCTTCTCTCTTTATCTCTCTCTCTCTCTCTCTCTCTCTCTCTCTTTCTCTCTCTCTCTCTCTCTTTCTCTCTCTTTCTCTCTCTTCCTTTCTTTAGCTTTATCCATCTATCTCTACATATACACATAATTATCTAGGTATATATACACATATACATATGTATATATATATATCTTTGGTATGTGCAAGGTGACGTGCATTGCGATTTCCAATTAAATTCAAAGCTGAAACTCGGAGATCCGGCTCTTGCCAACAACTACGTGCCGTATTCAACGTTGTTAACGAACTTTACTATCGATGTTAAATACTAGAAAGTGGCTCTGTTACTACGATATAAGCCGGATTAGGATATTCCCTGTGAATAGATTATATATATATAATATAATTGATAAATTTATAGATTGGAAGTTAATATTTTCCAATTTTGATTTGATTCTAAATATCGAGAGGTAAGAATTACGATTGTTTTCTGATCGATATGAATGGTCTAATAGTTTTGTTATAAATTAAAAAAGGAAAAAAATAAAGTAATTTATGTAATAAATAAATTCAAAAATAAAAAAGAAAAGGAGAAACATTGACAATCAGTTCTTACGTGTCTTATTTCGATTATATAAGATATAATTAATTTAAAAATTTTATTAATATAAAATTTATAATTTTAATAGAAAATACATCAATTATTATATATAATAAATTGAAAGATGATTGATCGAATAATTCAAGTTGGAGTAAATTCGATTGTAATACTCATTCTCTACTCTTCTATGCTTTTTAGCTGACCAAAGCAAATTCAAAATAGAGTACTCTAAAAGCTCTCTGAATACGAAGAAGAATAGGAAGAAGAAGAAGAAGAAGAAGAAGGAGTAACTTGATCAGCAATACTAATACCATCAACTTAAAACATCGTACCGTTTGGTAAAAGTGTCAACGATATTTATTGTTCTCTTTGAAGACGATTGCTCTTGAAGAAGAAGAAGAAGAAGAAGAAGGGTTGCTCACCAGAGATATCCCGATGATCTTTTATCGAATTCTGAGAAAGCTTTTAAAGCCATTTTATGCGATTACTTTGTCCTTGTTATATTCCTACCCACTTCCACCTCCACCCCCCCCTCCTCCTCTTTTCCCTTTAACTTTTTTCTTTCTCCTATAAAATAGAGAAATTGAAATTAATAATATTCTTCTTCCTGCTATGAAAATAATTAAATATCACTTTTAAGGATAGCATCCAGAATTAAATTGATGAGTCTGTCTTTTCATTTATTAAACATAAAGCTCTATCACAAATAAGAATAAAATGTACCTACTTCGAAAGAGATCGCAAATTGATTCGATCGTGGACCATTTATTTCTTTTCTCATTTCTTTGGGAAATCTCTAAGGTTCATTAGATTCTTCGAAGAAAACGCTAACGTTCGCATCTTTTTCAGTTCACCGAGTCATTATTCTTACTGGTACAATCCATTTTTATTATCCAAGAAAGTATTTTACGATTTGGCCTATCCAACGATTCCTATCCTTTGTCCCCAAAATTTTCTACTAAATGATATTTACGAGATGAAAAATAATGCTTTAGTTTTATTCATTAATGCATTGCAACATTGTGATCGATCTAATAACTATTGTAATTATTTTTGCACAAGGATATGATTTAAGTAGAAATTTACAAAAAAATATATATATTTTATTAATTTTGAGAAACATTTGTATATACGCGTATACGTATTTTTCCTTTCGCAAAAAATTGACACGAAATATTATCTAATAATATATATATATATAAATATTATATATATACCTGGATATTATATATAGTATCGGCGTGTCAGATTGTAATTATTAATAACGATAAGAAAATAAAATTACATTTAAACGGAGAGATAAACCGCGTTACAGAATAAATCATTAATATGAACTTTAACCTAGTAACTTTGTGTAAAACGAGGTAGAAAATGATTCCTGTGATATAGTATGTGTTATATATATCTATATAAATAAATACATACATACATACATACATACTACATACGTATATATATATACATATGTACAGAGAAAGACAGAGAGAGAGAGAGAGAGAGAGCTCATTTATCTCATTGTAAATGGCTCGCGGCTAGAAATAATGAGGATAATCCACGATAAATCATCGTGATGCGTCAAGCATTATATTTACGTGATTTCCACCGTCCGAATCAATTTCGAAAGAGATAAATGTTCGTGTCCTCCGAAACGAAATTATGGACTCGCTTACTAAATACGTTCGTGTGTTATTTCGACATGTATGGATTTAGCGTAGTAGCAGCAACAGCAACAGCAACAGCAGTAGTAGCTTGGCTCAGATTTGAATAATTTTTTTTTCGTTTTTTTCCAAATTTTCCTCACCGAGTAGAAACGTAACACAACCCGTTGCTTCTGGCGACTTTCACGCACTGATTGTGAGAGCTTGGGATTTTTAAATTGGTATATGGACCACGTTCCGAACAATTTATGCGAGAGGGTCACGATGAAAGATAAACTATCCTCTTGTTTTTTTCCCCTAGTACGAATTGGACGTGGAAAAAGTTTATCACATTGCCGAGATTTTCGTTCATTCGTCTATCACGAATAATATATATGATATAGTACGAAAAATATCTCAAAAAATTCGCTATATAAGTAATTACAAAATAGAAAATTAATCTTATTTTTTATTCAATATTTTTATCGACGATATAACAATCGAATAATTTTATTTACTACACCGTAAATCAAAATTCATATGTATATATTCAAGTGGAAAAACCTTAATATTATAATTCCATTAAAAATCGATCTTTTATTACTTATTGCATTTTGAATTTACGTTCATTCGTTTATAATTAAATCAAACTTTATATAGAGTATCTCGAGAAAATAGCTTTATTTGATTGGAAAAATTAAAAATTATTATTATCAATTATTTATATTATACTATATCGTCAATTTATTAACGAAACAATATTGATTATTCCTTTTCTTTTTTTTTGGTAAAGTAACATTCGGGACATCGCGCGTGTAGATGATGATAGAAGTAATCTCTCTCTTTCATTCACATCAGTTTGTATGCCTAATTCCTAGTTCCGCGCAATTAGATGGGTCGACATAGTCGTATGTGCGTACCTGTTCCAATAATGTACACACCTGTGCACCACATCCAGTTCTGCTGAGTTCCTTGTTACCTGAGTACCAACATATCTACGTTTACATATGTATATGTATGTGTATAGAGGATCAGCGATCCTATTTGTTCCAGACAGTCCTAGAACATCGGCATCGACATCGCCAAACGATTATCCTATAACTTGCACGTACTCTTCGTCCTTGTCTAGTATACACTGACTCCACCTACTTCGATTATCTCATCCTTCAATTTCTCTCATGTGTTCTATATATGTAGAGGAATCAGGTTGTAATATGACCCCCCCCCACCCTCTACCCCCACGTTCCTAGTTTTATATTCCTAAGATTTGATCCACCAATTAAATTCTTTGAAATTTATACAATACATGAAATTAAGATAAATTTACACAAATTATCTATTAATTATTTTTATTAATATATATATATACTATATTGTATATTACTTGTATATTAAAAAAAAATAATTGTATTTAATTTAATATGGATTATAAAAATGATAGAAATTTATATTAGTGTGGTATCCCATAATATTACTCTTTCTTTAATATATGTTTTTGCATTTGGGGAGAGATAGGCTTAGCATATTTATTAGAAAATTAAGATAATCAATCTTACATTCCTACAAAGCAGGAAAGCTTCATTGTAGATTGAAAATATGATGAGGGGGAAAGAAAAAAAAAAAAGAAACAAAAAGAAAAAAAAGAGGAGCTTGACAAATTCTGAGATTGGATGGGTGTATACCCTTCGAACAAAAATAACAGGCTAGAGAAAAATTACGAGAAAGTATAGGAAAAAGAAAGTGGCGTCGTTATTTGCCCATCGATCATTGTTGCTTTTCTTTTCTGTCAGTTCGTTCCGCACGAGGTAATAACAGGTTGAAGCTTTGAACCCGGTATAACATTTTCGTACACAAGGGTACTGTAAACTTAATTAATTACGCGTCTCACTCCACATCGATGTTTGCTACGCGAGAATAGAGAGCTTAAAAATCCTCATAGATGTACTATATACTATCTTTGTATATGTATGTGTACATACACTTGAAAAAGACCATTTTAAACTGTATTTGATTTACGAGAATTGTTCGATCCTATGCAGATCAATGTTTAATACTCGACGTACTACCAATACTCGATCAAATGGATTTTTTTTCATTTGATTTTATTCCTTTTTTTTCGAATATATTTTTTTTTTTTTGCTATGATTTAATTATTATTGCAAACTTATGCTAGATCGATTATTGTCTATATTTAATTGTACAAATATGTAACTTTTTATCTGCTTGTGGTGTAAATAAAAAATGAAATATTTTTATGGTTAATTATAATTTTATGATTAAATAATAATCTTTCAATGTATATAATATTACGATTTTCTATAATGTAACTCATTATGCTATGATAAAACATGTTTTTTGAAATAGAAAATTTGAATATATACTCGTTAACATAGGAATGTTAACTCGTCTTGAGAGATTTTCAATTTCAATGGTGACAATTTAAACCCCATAAATTTTGCTCGGATACAATCCTATTGCAATATAATTCCCTCGTCTCGACGTATTTAATTAAGTTACATTATTACGCGATAATTATCACAACCTTTCCTCTTTTTACCTCAAATCCTTAACACTCATTTCACGCTCGAAAAATTCTACTTTCGTTTCTGAGTGACGAATTTAATTTGTCTCGAATTTGAAAATACTTACAAAAAATATCCCAAAACAAATTATTCCTTCATTAATTTTCTCACATTATATTTTGTTTTTTATCATTCACATTTTTAACAATAAAATGATAATTCAAATTTTAATAATAAAATCTTTAAAATTTCTTTCGTAATAATCTCCCAAAAAATAAAATCAACATTAAGTATCCAAATATACTTTAGAAAAAATCTTGAAGATCTTTAAATTACATTGATTTATTTTTATCGTATAAAAATATTGTCTAATAAAAATTTTCAAATAATTTATACCTAATAGTATAAGAAAGAGAGATAAGTTTAAAAAAATTAAAGATAAACTAATAAACGTTGGAAGGTTTCAAACTTATTGAGACTATCTATCTGTCTTGACGAAAATCATCGCCTACAGGCTAACGCTATTCCTCGCGCATAATTGCAATTGCAGTGACCGACCCGTATCAGTCCCGAGTACAAACGGTCAGCTGCGCTTCAGGCAAGTAAACGTGGATGCTCTGTGAGTATATATATATATATATATATATACATACATAAACATGTATGTGTGTGTGTGTATAAATGTATACGTGGATGTGCAAGCAACAAGAAGGACAGAGAGTTCCTATTAACGTGGGTAGTTCGCAATCGTTGAGGAGGGGGGGTTAGGGGGTATAGGGGGTAGATTTGGCAGGGTCAAATCTACCCTTGCCGATAAAGGAGAACGCAATGGGGTGAGGGTCGAGAAAGGAGGAAAGTGGAGGGGGTGAGTTGGTGGTGCTCGCCGCATCCATTTCGGTACCGCAAATGATTACATTGCGGGCATCCACTAACTGGCCAGTGACCCTATCCCTGTCCCTCTTCGCACTGTTCCTCCTCTACCCAATCGCACTGTCGATCAACAACAAGGGGGAACAGAGTTGGGTGTTGATGTCTGCGGTTTCAACCTCTTCGATTCTATTCCAACACGTTACCGTTCCATGATAAAAATCTGATTTTCCCCAGAAATTCGCGAGAAAACCGTATATTCCAATTGATTTACACACCCCTATTATCGTATTGATCTCTATTGTTATCATTTTATTCGATTATATATTATATTATTGTGTGGAATAAATGAATTAATGAATTTTATTAATACTAAACGTATATCGAGCTTCGTGTATACTTATAATATTTTTACTACAAGAGATCAAATGACACGTCTTTAAAAAGAGAGTCATATATTTTATGATGTATGTATAACAAAAAATATATCATTTATACAATAAGAATTTTTAATTCATCAAATAGTACAATAAGTTGTAAGAAATTCTGTTAAAAAATTGATAATCAGTCAGCTGACTGGTCATATTAAAAATGTGATTCGAAAAGTAACGAGTTGGTAAGTAACTTTATCGAGTAAAAGTTCGAAAATGATTTTTCTTTCAACTTTTTTTTAATAAATCTGATGGCATCGAGTTGTTTCTTTTTAACGGTTCACTTTAGTAATACTCGTCATACATTTGATAGCGACTTAGTTTATTTCTATACTATCTGAGTAATAAGAAATTGATGTTTCTAATGTATTAAAGGTAAAATTTCATTTGCTCGAATTCGTCGTATGCGTGTCTCGCGCGTTAGAGTTCTAAGTTTTGGGAAATACTCTACGATAGTAGAAGTTCCAACCGAATATGATCAAAGTTGTATAGGAAGGGAAAACCGACATAAGTACTTGGATAATTCAGTTTCGGTAACGAATGTTGCTCGGCCGCGCGTTGTTGCTCGTTCGAAAGTTCGGAAACAACTACCACGGCAAATATCTGTTGCATTTTCGAATTCATGTTTTGCGGCTTCTCGACACAATAGACTTACAATTTGTCATTTTACCATTGAAAATAGATTCTAGACTTTGTAATCCTCTTTATGACTCATTTCAATAAATTTAACTAATTAATAAGCGTTCTAAGATAAGGGATTAAGCTAACGTGAAATATAATATTATTGAGACGATTAAATTTAATCGACACAATGAAAAGTTTATTATTATTATTATGAAATATTAATTAATAATTCTCTGATACACGAATGAATTAATATTTTTCAATGATTTTAAAACAAATATTATTGATAAAGATAATAAATTATTAATATAATTTCTATGTAAAAATGAATATTAAACTTACTAATAAAGTTCGTTGAAAATTTCACTGAACGCGTCAATGACTCTTTGCTGACTGAAGTAATCGTTTCTCGATCTTCTCTAATAATATCAATACGTATTGTTTATAAATCGGAATATCCTAGATGAGTTTATTGATGAATACTTTGCGTATCTCAGAGCGTCAAATCTTCACGAAAACAATGTTTACGTCGAGAAATATGTTTCCTTTTTAAAATCTCTGTTAACAAACTACGATAACTTTAATAATATCATATTTTGTTCTAAAACTTGACATTTTGACGTTAAAACGAATAAATAAATTACACGTAATCGTATTGATCAAATTTCTCGTATATAAAATATAACAAATTATTATATATATATATATTAATAGTTTTTGTTTCATTGAGAAAAACAAAAATGTGACAATTATTAATAACAATTTATGTTGGAAGGGATATTATAAGGAGTAACATTTCTTGAAAGCAAATTGGTATTTGAAAGACAGCTCGCAATCTTGGAGAAGACGTTGAGAATAAGATAGAGAGGTAGAAGTAGAAGTAAAAGTAGAAGTAGATAGTGAGAGAGAGAGAGAGAGAGAGAGAGAGAGAGAGAGAAAGAGAGACAAGCTGATGGATCGTCAGTGAATCTAGCACTCGGAAATGGCTAAGGAATGATGGATGGATAGCTAGCTACCTAACTAATTCATAAGTAACTGCTGCTTTGCTGGCAGCTTCTACTACGTAAGTACTCACGAATCTAACTGCAATATGCTTGCCGAGCAATAAAAGATAAAGGAGATTATAAAAGATGGTAGAAAAGAGAATGAGAGGGAGAGAGAGAGAGAGAGAGAGAGAGAGAGAGAGAGAGAGAGAGAATAAAAGAAAGATGCACGTTATCGGATATGCTATAATATAATCTTGGAAGATTTCATTTGCTACTTTTATTAGCTAGATAACAATGAAACGTAATAAACGATATTTACGAAGAGACAACAATAATAATAAAAAACATTTACCACGAGACATAATTTCGATAATAAAAAAAATGATTTCAACCACGCGATTCTTGTATTTTCATTTTTCCCCTAGATATGTATTGAGAATTAATATTTGTCGAAGCAATGAATAAGAGAAAAAAAGAAAAGAAAAGAAAAAAAAAAATCAAACAGGAAAATAGAA